CTGTAACTTTGCTTTCCTCTCTGCCTTGGGCAGCAGAAGGCAGGGAACTGGTGGGCTGCTACAGCACATGGCTCTGCTCCCTCTCAGCCCTCTCTCTGTCTGCCTTCCAGTCCCCTCAGCAAGTGGGGCGTGGTGGCCGGGCTCACAACAACTGCTGACTCGGGGCCTGAGGTACAAATACGCCGGATTAAGCAGGTGAAGATACACGAGGAATACGATGGCCGTATGCGTCATGACATCGCCGTGGTGGAATTGACGAAGCCTTTTGAGTGCAACCCCTCCGTTCAGCTCGCTTGTCTGCCTGGTCCCACAGTGAAAGTGGCGCCTCTGAACTGCTATGCTGCTGGCTGGGGTGCCACTGAGGCTAAAAGTAAGTTCCCAAAAGGACCTGTGCCCTGAGGGCAAGCTTGGCACACTGGGGAGAGATGGGTGGGGCTTCCTGACAGCAGAGGCCAAAACCAGGGTTGGGCTGCGGGATGTATGCCTCTGGAGAGATGGGACGAGCCTACTTCCCAAAGCCATACAGCAGTGACACAGCACTCCAATGCCTCTCCAGAGACAGAGCCAAGCCCCAGGGAAGGGCTTCACCCCCAGACAGGCCAGGGGAATAGACAAAGAGCTGCTGGGAACTCATTCCTTTCTCTGCTCACAGCTGTAACTTCACCAGCAAGACCCTTGAAGGAGACCAAGGTGCACCTCATTGACACCCAGCTCTGCAACAGCACTGACTGGTATGGAGGGATAGTTGCAGACGACAACGTGTGTGCTGGGCACGCAAAGGGTGGCACGAACACCTGCCAGGTAGGAGCGTGCTAGGAGTCATTCAGCCCCCCTGTCAGCACTTCCCAAACACAGTTCCGCGTGTGCTTTCCCTGGCCAGCTGCCCTCCCAGCCCCGAGGCCCCACCAACACTGGGGCTTCCCTCCCCTTCTCCTTCCAAGGGTCCTTGCCCAGTTCCCCCCTTGTCCCAGCTGCCTGGCACTCTTCCCAGAGAGCCTGCCTAGTGCTCTTGGCAGCGCAGAGGTCCAGATGCCAACCCTGGAACATCCACTCTCCGCACTTCCAGGATCACTGAGCACAGAGGACAGACAGCCCTACCTTACAGACCTGTAACCTGCTCCCAGCCATGGTTCTGGAGGCCTCAGCACCTGAGCAGAGCCTTTCCCTGCCAGGAATCCAGCTCTGCCAGGGGCTGGGAGAGCAAAGGAACCAGCCCTATGTGCTGACAGAGGCAACCAACACTCCCTTAATCCAATCTGCTTTGCTGCAGGGTGACAGCGGGGGGCCTCTCATCTGCAAAGATAGCAAAGCTGACATCTTCTGGGAAGTTGGTCTGACCAGCTGGGCAATCGGTTGTGCCAGACCCAAAAAGCCTTCAGTTTTTGTCTCCACTCAGTACTACTACAGCTGGATCATGAAACACATTGGCCAGAGCTCAGCTATTCCAGCACCAGTGCAATCCTGTCCATTCCCACGTAAGAAGCTGCTGCAGTTTTTTGATCTGCTGCAGGAGCTCTTGAAGTTCCTAAAGGCAAAACCGGCTTGAGCAGCAGGATGGACAGGCTGTGGTGCAGGCTTTAGTGAGCCCACGCTCCTCCTCTGCATGCACACAAATGCTGATGTGGACTTAGTTGTTGTTGTTGAAATAAAGTTGCCTGTTTTCACCATTAACCATGTTGGCAGTCCCACTCAGTCTCCTGTGCCCTCGAGGCCAGGCCTCCCT